AAAAAAAAAGTATATATATATATATATATATATATATATATATATATATATATATATATATATATATATATATATCAAATGTTAAATGTAATTAAATATAATAAATGTAAATAAACAATGTTTATTGTGTTAATATATAACAGTAAAACCAATTAAGATAAAATGGAGGAAGATAAAATTATCTAAGAAAACTATATACGGCACTGCTACAACCGTGTTAACCTTTAAGCATACTAAAATAAAAAGAATTTTAGTAAATTTCAATAAAAATTTTCCTATTTTAATTTGCATTAAAATATGAATTAAGATATTGCCATTTAAGTTGAATTTAGTAGCTTTAATGATGAACTTTTAAATATTTCTCAAAAAAACCATAAAAACAAACTGCTGCGTTATTTTTTACAAAAAACAAGACATAAATGAGACCTTCACAAATGATATGCGATGCTGAAATAAACAAAAATATATAACTTTTTTAGTTTAACCTTGAATAAATAATAGACAAATGCATAAACATTTTCAATACGAAATAAGATGGCATTTATAGTGGTTATCAAACAAAAGAGGATTAAACAAAATTGATAATCTTGTCAAAAAGATATTTAGCTTTTTGTAAAAGCACCCAAATATGGGGAAGTTCCTCCCCAAAAAAGTAATTGATGAATTGCATAATATTCCTTTTCCAAATTCATGTCACTAGATGAATCCTGATATTGAATATTCATGTCATTAAATGAATTCATACTCAAGTCAATAGATGAATCCTGAATACTGCAAACAACTATTGTTAACATTCCTATATTAATGAATGGCAACCCTTACAATGAATCCTCTTCTTTATGTCTTCTTGGAAACCATATAAATAATCAATTGCACATACATCTCTTTCTCTTTTCTACAAATATTATCATGGTCGCTGCTCAAAGGAGCTATCATCTCTAGTTCCATCAACTAAAACTTATTATCGCTTGACTTGTCATTCAGCAAAGTCTCATTCTTTTACTGCATTTGTCTCTGCATGCTCTAAAAACTTTTAGTCCTCGAGTTTTTTTACCTGCACTTCAACCCTTTGAAACTCTCTCCCATCTTCATGTTTTCTGAATGATACAACCTTCAACATTTTAAGTCTTTTGACAACTGTTTCCTTGCTCTATAACTCTTCTTTTTTTCTTCCTAGTAACTCCCAACTTAATAGTGGTTGCTTGCAGCCTTGTTAGGAGTGATTTTTATTTTTCATTTTTTATTTATTGGAATAAATAAAAAATAAAAATAAAAATTCATGATTTTCTTCTTAGATTCTATATTTAAGTCATTATCTGCTTGCTCCTCAGATGCAGAAATGTCATTTAAAAAAAAAACTTTGATTTTAAAAAGAAATTTTGATGGATGTTAAAACTAAATTTTGATTTGGCAAATTCTTTAATTTGTTCTATTTTTTGTCATTTTTCAAATTTAATTTTTGAGTGATCTTTATATGAAATTAACAAATGGCTCAAAACACCTTAAGACATTATTCCCATTTCAGATATATGTTTTAAAGCTTTCCTCAATCTCTATAAATGTTTGAGAATATTCGCAATTATCAATGCCTAGTGATACCATTCTGATTGTGGATCATTATAATATCTAAAGAACTGGATATTTACTATGCTCATACTACTAAATGAGTCTCAAAGAATGACTTGTTCTATGAAGATTATCATACAAGTAACCAATCCATGCATGGCTTGTCAACTCAAAAGAAATATGTACAAAATAAAAATATAGCTGATAAAGTCCAACTTTTTGATGCCAATCCTCCATATACCCTTCTCAGTTAACCTAATGGTTTAGACTAGGGTGTCAAAATAATATTAAATTAAGCTTAAAGTGTGGATATGCTTAAAGTGTGGATATGGTTATAATGGGTTAAAGTAGGGATAACACAGAGAAAGATGACAAATCACAAAATGGTTTTGCTTCTTTTTACATTTTTTTGCAACTGTTCCACCATCACTTTTTTGAATTGTTCTATTTTAATAGGATCGTCCATAAATTAGCAACGCCAATTTATTTCATAATAAAAGTGAAAGATCATCTTTACTTTAGCACAGTAATTTTCATTATAGTTAAACAGCTGTTTTAATTTTTGGTTGAATATAAGACTGTGAGAGAAAAATTGTGATCTTTTTTGACTAAATTTAAAGTTGCATAATTTATGAATGCAGAGCCAGATTAAAACATTTTTAGATCTGTGGCTGTTAATATAGGAGGGCCTAATGCGGCGGTAATCTAAAAATGCTGAGCAGGAACAAGCTTATACTTAATAATAGATGATAAGAAGATAAAAGGACACTATTTAGTAATGTTTTTAGAACATTTTTTAAATCATTTTTTACAATTTGGTTAGGTATGGCTCCACCTCTTTGGCATAGAAACCTATGGCATAAACACATAAATATGTAAATCAGTCTTGAATAGTAACTTTTAAGAAAAAAACTTCTGACCTGCAGGTAAGTATAATAATGGAGCAGTGAAGCGTTTGTATTAGATTGATAGTGTGTTCACTCTCAATAAAAGAAGAAATTACCAACAATAAAAAAATAAAAAATAAAGAAAGAATAATAAAAAATAAAGTACATTTATTTTTTAATGCTATTTTAAAAACACGAATTCTTTTTGTTAAATACAAGTAATCAATGTTTATTTCTGTCCACTGATAAACTTATAAGACATTGTTGTTTCAGGACATAAATCATTGGGCAGTGACAATGTGGCAAACAAAGAAGTTTACAGTATGTATGCCCTTAGTACAGTCTATCAAAGCACCAATGAAAATCTTTATTTTATATTGGAATGCAATAGAATTTAGCAATAAAAAAATATATATATTATTTTAAGTAAGTGGTGTTAAATAATTAGTTAAAGCTAGAACTCTTATAAATTTTTTTATGAAAAGTATAAAAAACAGAGAAGTAAAGTGAATAAAGTAATCATAGCAGTTGGCTTCAACATCTTCAAAATATGTTTACATACAAATGAAACATGATTTCTCATATGCATATTTTGCTAATTGTGTCATATGCATTAGCTCTCTGTTTAAAAGCAACTAACAATTGATTAACTATAGATTAAAAATTCTTAACTTTAAACTTATTAAAGGCAATAACTCTAAATCTAATCCCATCAATGGTTCCTGTTGCATTTATCTCCTTGCTTTACCTTTGTATGTCTCAGTGCCCAGAACCTTTCATTTTTATCCAATTGTTATGAATTGGCTCCAAAGAGAATGAACCTATAAAATAAAAAACTGAGAAACATATAAAAAGAAAAGTTATTTACTTCTTTAAAAAAAAGTAAGATTGCAAGCCAGAGGGTCTATTTTTTTTTTGAAGGCCCTGGGGCTGCAGGCTATTCCGCCCCTGCTTAATACAAAAAAAATTTGGATAAGGAAAATATGAATTTGAAAAACACATCTTAATACAACCAGTATAATGTTTGTGGTCAAGAAGAAACCAAAATGAAATATAAACTTCCCAAGAATTTTCGGAATTCTGCTAAAAGAATTATGCAATTTTCTGCTTGATTTTTTTTTAACAAAACAGGAGCTTTGCAACTTCATGGAGCATTTTAATGACCAAGAATATGTATTTGCTTCTTGTGGTCATTTTTCCAAATATTGAAATGACTCTGATTGCCAAGGTTAGTAACTTATGTAAATAGTAATAAGTTATCACCATAAACCTTAAAATACAGCAAAAATGTGCCTACAGCAAAAATTTGAATGATCTATTTTAAAAGAAGGAGAGGCTTCTTTGTATCCCTTTGAACACACACTTTAAACTTTTTAACACCGTTCAACTTGATTACCTATTCTACTTTAACCTCTGACTTTATCTCCTAATCTCAGTAAATAAAAAAACATTTGAAGAAATATTGCAAAGACTCTTTGCAATATTTCTTAAAAACTCAACTCAGCAATTCTAGCTCATAGATCAGAACAAACCACTACTATTTTTGAAGAAGACTCAATGTTATAAAGACTCTTATGTTATAGTTGTTACTTTTTTATAGCCGTACGTTTTTGATTTTTGCATTTTTTAAAACTAAATATACTAATTATATAGCAGTTATCTTTTGAAAAAAAAAACTGAAATTGAAGAAGGATGAAATTGAAGAAGGAGAAAGATAAAGCCTAATTTTTACTTTTATTTTCATTTATTAAATGGTTTTTTAATCTGATTTGTGTTTTGCTTTTCTGATTTGTGTTCCAGTTGTATTCTATCTGCCATGGAGAATGTGTCAATTGAAACAAAAATAGGATTAATATATATATATTTTTTAATATATATATATATATATATATATATATATATATATATATATATATATATATATATATATATATATATATATATTTATATATATATATATATATATATATATATATATATATATATATATATATATATATATATATATATATATATATATATATATATATATATATTGGACGTCCTAGGTGGACTTTTTACTCTAAAAGTATTTATGATGATGGAAACAAATGATAATATTTAAATATATATAACCAGTCAAATTTTGAGGACTTTTTTTTATTATTATTTGGTAAATATACTACTTTTTGGATATATAGTAGGCAAATAGATCGTGTTTGGTCAATACCATAAATTTTGCCTCATACCCTTTTTAAAAATGGACAGCTATGGGATAAATACGGAAATAATTATTTTTTAGAGGAATAAATATTCAAATAACAAAACAGAAGTCGATAAATTTAAGGGTTTTCATTTAAAGAAAACCAATAAATTTAATGACAACTCTAAATAATATACTATTAGCATAAAAGCAATATGTGGTAATAATTTAGCTTTTTGTTTACAAGAGAATGCTGTAAACAAAAATAAAAAAGCAATTGGTATCGAGAGATGTAAATTTTTTCCATACTAATTGAATACATATAAAAATTAATATATAAAAAAGTAAAAATAAATATTAAAAACCTGGATGATTTTTCAGGTGTTGTGGACACTAAGGAAGAGAGAATATCAGTTATTTTATTTTTTGTGTTCGCTGAAGACATGTTACATTAAATTTGTGCGAGTTTTTACAACTTGCAAAACAAAATACGTAAAATAAAGTGGATCTGAGTAATTGTTTCTAGACTGTTTTTACTGATTGCCTCATTGCTACTAGACTAAATCCCGTATAATTAAGATGAAATACAGCATATTTTTAAGAAGCGGGGCTCAAAATAATGCTCTCTAAAATCAACCATCAAGGTTAGAGGGTGTTATAAAGAAAATTTACTCATGCCTTTTTTTCAAGTAGAGATCTTTTACAACCAGGGGCGCACAGAGGGTGGGGTCAATTTCCCCCGGGTCAGTTTCCCCCGGGCATCACATAATCAAATGATAAATAAAAATTATCAGTGTCTTGATCTTAGAGAAGAGAAGTTTATTAATGAGTTTCGCTATTTTTCGGGTGTTCAACGCCATCTACTGACAAATGATTGGCCCTTAGATCTTCTGAATAACATTTATGCGAAAAAATTTGAAGGAAATTTTCCCCAGATATACATCTGTCTTCGTATCTTTCTTACTTTGCTAGTATCTGTGGTTGAAGGCGAGAAATCTTATATCAAACTAGCTCTCGTCAAAAACACTCTAAGAACTACCATGATAAAGAACCGTCTTGATGACTGTCTTATCCTATTAATCGAAACAGATCTTGCAAAGGAAGTTACGATGTTGTAACTTCCAACTTTGTAGCTAAAAGCTAAAACCTCCAACTTTGCAGCTAAAAAAGCTCGTAAAAGTCTTGGTAAAACGTCAGAAAAACTTTATACCAAGTTCAGAATTTTTTTTTTTTTTTGTATTGTATTATTGTTTGATTTGTGAACTGTCTTAATTACAGAATTTTAAAATTATTTTGTGAACACTAGAGAATAAAAAAATAAGAAAAATAAAGCTATTATTAATAGCTTTATTTTTCTTATTATTTTTATTTTGGTTGTTGTTAGAGGTTCTTCCCTGATAGACTTAAAGTTGCAAGAGTAATGCCAGTATTAAAATCAGGAGACAAGGCTAATATCTCCAATTACAGATCTATCTCTATACTATAATGCTTTTCAAAATTACTAGAGCACACTATGTATAAAAGATTGTATTATTTATTAGCTGCAAACAATATTCTTTATAATAAGCAATTTGGATTTAAAAAGAGTCCTTCTACTGATCAGGCAATCGTTCATCTTGTTCAAAATATATTTAAATCGTTTAATCAGGGCTGTGGAGTCGGAATCGGAGTTGCGGAGTTGCATCATTTTTAGCGGAGTCGGAGTCGGAGTCACTAAACAAAATCGCGACTCCAACTTTAATAGTAAAACTTCTCGATATTGCACGTGCATGTGCAAAACATTCAATTAACCTTTTGTTCATACTAAATCTCAAAGAACATTTCATAAATTTGTCAAAAAAGAAGTTTTGAAAGAAACTTATCGCGTAATATTTTTTTAAAAATTCAAAGAATTTTTTAAAAATTTTGCTTTGGAGTTGGAGTCGGAGTCGGAGTTGTGCTCTAAAAATTTCAACAACTGGAGTCGGAGTCGGAGTCGTTACTTTTTTTTTACGACTCCACGCCCCTGCGTTTAATGGAAATAATTATACATTAGGTGTATATATAGATCGCAGTAAGGCTTTCGACACTCGATCATTTCATTTTATTAAAAAAATTAGAAAACTATGGTGTAAAATATATAAATATTTCATGGTTTAGAAGCGATCTGAAAAATAGATTGCAACACATATCTTACAATAATAAAACGACCGATACGAATATAATGTTTGAGGTCCCTCAAGGTTCTATATTGAGGCCACTCCTATTTCTCATCTATATCAATGATATAAGTAAAGCATGCATTCAACTAGATACAATTTTATTTGCAGATGATACAAACCGATTCTATGCACATAATGATATAAACATTCTGTTCAAATCTGTAAACAAAGAGTTAATAAATCGTACTAATTGGTGCAAAAAAATTATCACTGAATATAACCAAGAATAAATATACTTTTTCCATCATTTTCATGATGGAGATAATCTTCCTTTAAAACTTCCAAAACTCTGTATTGATAATCGAGACGTTATAAAGAGAAATCACTTTGAGATTTCTCGGTGTTCTGCTTGATGAAAATGTGACGTGGAGAGATCACATACATTATCTCGAAAGTAAAATCTCTTTGAACATCGGTCTAATTTGTATAGCAAAACCTTTTTTAAATCCATATTGCTTAAAATTTTATATTTCTCTTTCATTCATTGACATCTCAATTATGCAAACATTGCTTGATGCAGTACAAATAAAAATAAAATTAAAAAACTTTTTAACAAACAAAAACATGCAATCAGAATCATATCCAATGTGGGACGTTTTACACATTCCCTAGCATTGTTTATTAAGCTAAATATAATGGATATCTACCAAATAAACATCTATCATTTTCTTATATTTATGTTCAAAATAAATAAAAATTTATCTCTTAAAATATTTAATCTGCTATTCAAAATAAATCAGAACAGATACTTAACCAGATACACGTATAACAGCTACCCACAAAGCCCACAAATTATCAGCTCACAAATTATTTTGCGGCTACTAAATTTTCAATTTCTACTAGAGGACCAAAAGTAAGGAATAAAATATTAACTGAAGATTTTAAAACAATTGCAACGCTTAATGAGTTTAAGACCAAATTGAAGCAAAGACTGTTGATAAACAACGTAGTGCATGGTTTTTTCTGATGTATATGTAAAGGTGTATACTGGTTTAAAAGAAAAGTTTCAGAATTATGAGTATTTGCGTGCATGCTTTTTAAGTATATAATTTTTTGCCATACTATAGTATTTTCTTTTACTTTGGTATTTAGTTTTTGTCCTTTTGTAATATTAAAATAAGAAAAAAAATAGATTTTCATAGTTAGAGAGGGGCATATGAAGTTTATCTTTTTGCTTGTTTGTTGTTTGTTTCTTATAAATATAAAAAGTCTATATAACAATATTTTATATCCTGTAGTGGTGTAGTGTCTATTACGGTATAAATTACGGGGCTTGGCGATAAGACAACTGTCTTCTTCTTGCCCATGCTATTTGTATTTACATATGTTTTATGTTATAAATAAATTCATATGGCAAAAAAAAAAAATCACAACCCAAAAATTTTAAACGCTATATTTAAAGGATTTTTCCTCAAGGCTTACTCTATCTGTAGTAAATCCTTTTTCAAAACAAAATAAAATTGGCGTGTTCATCAAGAATTAGTAGATGGAAAAGCAGATTTTAACAACAACAACAATAATAACAACAATAACAATAACAACAACAACAACAACAATAACACACAGAATAAGATTTTATTTCTAAATATCGATTAAATTTTCTGTGGTTTTTTTTTACGATTGATTTTTTGTTTTTTACCAAAATATTTGAAATTTTGCTAATATGAATCTTTGTTTTTAACATTTTTATATTCCTGATATTTTTTTTAAAAAGAAGTCATAGTGTAAAAGCTTTCAATTCAAATCAACTCAAATGCAAATAAACTCCTATGGTCCTATTCCTTTTAATAGCTCTTAGTTTTAACTATAATATAGTTAAAACGGTTGTCCAAGGGTTATCCAATGTAAAGGGTTATCCAATGTAAAGCCCGGGTCACAAAGTGGACTCAGTGCCCTCAGACATGCCTCAGACTCTTTCCAATACTTTAAATTTTTGAATTATTATATTTTTAATTAAATGATTTTTAGCGTAACTAACTACAGCTATCAATATATTTTAATTAAAATTAAAAATCCGCGTTTAGACGTAATCAAACACACGCTTCAAATCATTATACATGTCTTTATTTTGAATAGCAATCATAATTAAAATTTTTAAATATGGCTGTAGCTAAAAGATCTAGATGTGATAGTGAACGCTTGCACTTAAGTTGAGTATCTAATTCTCGGAAAAACAGTTATATAGATGAGCAAAATAACTTTATTATCATTTGTCTGCAAATACAACGTTGATCCAATGTTAGTTTTGTCGTATTTATATTAATTAAAACCTTATAACGACGTGATTAAAAGTTAGCAAAATTACATTGGTCATTTAAATAGTTAGTAAAATTACATTGATCCAACGTATGTAAAAACATCGCAAAGATTAGTTGTTTTTCCGATCTAAGCTCAACGTTCATCCAACATATAGGGATCAACGTTAATCCAATGTATATGGATCAACGATGAACAATTGGATTAGTGTTGATCCAATCTTTATAACGCAACGTTAATGTATATGGATTAACGTTGGATTATATACATTGGATCAACGTTGATCCATATACATTGAAATAATGTTGAATTTTATACAGTGGACCAACGTTATGTTTGCATCAAGAAAAGGCAGATATACAAATATATATTTGTATAATTTATAAAAATTTGTCATTCAATTTTTTCAGTTGATTATGGAAATATCTTTTGCTAATATATTTTTATTTTTATTACATAACGAAATATCAAGCCACAAGCAAAACAAACATGAATAATGCGTTTTTATTCTTATGCCACTGCTCAAGCTATTAATGTGTATCTTTCTAACTATACGCTAAAATATAAAACAACTAAATTTAAATAACTTTAAATACAACTAAATTTAACTAATTATAACTAAATTTAACAACTAAATTTAATTATTATGAACATTATAAAAAACATTATTAAAAAAACATTATAAAAAAAAAAAATAAAAAAATAATGCTGTGCAAATCCAAAATATAACGTTAAATCAACTTAAAATACAACGTTTTGCTAACGTAAAATGCAACGTTTTGCCAACATAAAATACAACGTTGAATCAACGTAAAATATTACACAATGCCGACTTGTAAAATATTACACAATGCAACTTAAAATACAACGTTGTTTTTTGGTTGTTGGCGACGTCGCATTTGTAACTAAAATGATATAAAAACAACATTGGCAGTCGATGTTGAGCCAACGCAACGCGCAATATTGTTCTAACGATTTATCAATGTATGTGTGTTAGGTGGGGATACTTTTTTTAAGTAATGAGTTAAGTATTTGGAGAATATTTTTTTATTATTTATTTTTGTTATTATTTATTTATTTTGCGGTTGATAAATATTACAAAAAAGAAATTACAATAAAAGAAGACCGGTTGTCTTATCACCGAGCCCCGTCACACAAAAGTTTACATGCACAATAAATGATAAAAGACAAAAAGACAGTATAAAAACAAAAACAAATCAAAAACTTCAACAATAAAATAATTTGTTGCTAACAATCTTCCAGCAGAATAATTTTAAAAATAAAAAAGTAAAAACGACAGAAAATCATAGAAGTTATAAAAACACAAAAAAAAAAGCGTTGTTTAATTTAAAAAAAAAAGCAATATATGTAAACATAAGTATTTGGGCTGATTATTTAATATCATCAAAAATATGAACGGAAAAAACAATTTTATTTTCGTTATCTTTTATACTAATGGTTTAAAACCATTTTATTAAAAGCTAAAGATTTAATTTATTTTTAAGTGATTTAGTTTAAACCTTTAAATTGTTTTCGAAAAAGGTATTTGATATCTAATATATCGAATTCCATGTTCAGTAAATGCCGTTTTGAATCATCCTTAAAACTTTGCAAAGTGCAGTTTAAAACGAAGTTTTGTTTTTTACTAAAGATTGGAAGAAATATTTTCCAAACTAGAGGTCCCCAATATTGAATTTGGTACGAACTTATTTTAAGAAGGTTTATGGGAACCACAAAGTTATTCACTGAAAATTTGGTTGGATATTTATGGGAGATTTCATTAAAGTAGTATTGAAGTATTACTGGAGAAAACCCAAGTTTTGCTTTCAACATAAATATCATTACTTGATGAATATTAAGCTTATAAATATTTAAAGCTCCAAGCTGACGTAAGAGAGGTTCGCATTGTGTTTTTCTATTTGCCCCAAATACTATCCTGCAAGCATATTTTTGTTTACTATAAATTTTTTTGAGTTTAGTGTGATTAGTGCTACCCCAGGAAATGTTACAGCATGAAAGATAGCTGTGTATAAACGAAAAATATAAATTTTTTAAAGACTCGTTATTAAGAAAAGGCTTCGTTCGGTATAACATGGCAATATTTTTTGAGATCTTACCTTCAATATATTTAATATGAAATTTCCATGACAATTTTTCATCTAAGAGTACTCCCAGAAAGTTTGTAGTCAATTCCCTTTTAATTATTTTGGTTATTGATTAAAAGATTGGGTAGTTTAAGAGGAAAATTCTCGGCTTTACTAGGTTTATGAAATAAGATAAATTTTGTTTTCTCTACATATAATGATAGTCGGTTACTTATAAACCACTCGTTGGTCTTATCTAATTCTTCGTTAAATATTTTAAAAAGAACAGTAATATCTTTGTGAGATTAAAACAAATTAGTGTCATCTGCAATTAAGATAGTATTTAATACTTTTGATGATAAATATAAATCATTTATATAAAGTAAGAACAATAATGGTCCCAAAATAGAACCTTGGGGTACTCCACAAGTTATTAACTTGTTTTTTGAGTCTTTTGATTCTTTAAGTATAAATTGCTTTCTGTTAGTTAAGAATGATTTAAACCAAAGTAAACTTTGATTTTTAACACCATAGTTTTCTAATTTTTTCAAAAGAATTTCATGATTTACTGTGTCGAAAGCTTTGGATAAATCAATAAAAAACCCTATGGTATATCAATCACTATTCCATTTGATATATGCTTAACCAATTCAACTATTGCATGGTCAGTAGAATGATTTTTTTTAAACCGTATTGATTATTATATAAAATCTTATTTTCAGATAGATATTTATAAAGTCTGTTGTACATAATGCGTTCAATTAGGTTAGAAAAACATGGTAAGACTGAGAATGGTCTGTAGTTTGAAATATTGATCTCATCGCCAGATTTGAAAATAGGTGCTATTTTTGCAATTTTTAGTTTATTTGGAATATAACCTGATTTAAGGGAGAGATTAAAAGTATGGAATAATGAGGGTTCGATAATATCAAAAACAGATTTAATTGCATTAACATTGATTTGATCTATACCTGCACTTTTATTTTTTTTCAGACTGTTAAAAGCAGTATGTAGTTCACTTTTGGTTAAAATAGGTTCTTCCATAATTAAATCAGTTGTTACAAGATATGAATCAATTTTTTTTTGACCAACTAAAATTTTTGCAGCTAGAATTGGGCCAAAGTTATTTTTTCAATTTTATTTTTCCCAATTAAGTCTCTAATAACACTCCACGTTTTTTGAGGGTTTCCTTTGCTTTTTTCAAGCAGTTTAGCATAGTAATTTACTTTTGATCGTTTTTTAGTTTTTTCAAATAAATTTTTATAGTTTTTGTAATTAGTTTCATTTTTATAAGTTTTATTTTTTAAATATTTATCATACAATTTTTGTTTTTTCCTTGATGATTTTAGTAGGCCTTTGGTTATCCACGGGAATAGGGTTACGTATCTCTCCAAAAACATCTAGCACTACATTACAAGAGATTATTTTGAGAAATTTGATAGCTACCTTGATGGTTCTTTTGAGAGAATAAATAGGTGTTGAATTTATTTGAAATATGATTCTTTTCATATAAATCTTTTTCATCAGTTATTCTCAAAGGCATTTTATTAGAACTAACTTTCTTTTTACAAATTATTTCCTTCATAATGCCCCATAATTTTTTACGTCTCAATTTGGTCTTTGTACTTGTCTGGAATAATACGTTTTTTTAGATTCGTTTTTAATTTTTTCAAATAAATTTTTGTAAATAGATAAGTTTGTAAATAGATAGGTTGGATTTAGTTCTATTTTTTTTAGATATTTTACGTAAAGTTTTTGTTTTTGTTTTGAGAATTTTCTTATTTCTTTTATGATCCATAGATAACTTAGATATTTTACTTTTTATTTCTATTTTTTGAATTGGAAAACTCTCATTTTTTGTGAGCAGAAAGTTTGTGTTTCCAAGGTTACAATCTTGGTAGACCTTTTTCCAATTTAATGTCAATACCAAGTACTTAAATTTATGAATAGAAGATTCATTAACAGCTCTTTTAAAAAATACACATTTTGAATTATCAATTTTTGTAGCAACTTGAGACAAAGATCAAAATATAGAAAAGTCTGAAATATCCGTCCTATTTTGCCTATGTATAAGAGTCCCATTTTGCCGACTGCCGATCTAAAAAAAGTTCCAATTTGCAGACTGAAGGTACAAAAAGGTTCTAATTTGCTGACTAGTGTTGCAAATATCCATCGAATGAGCGGTGGCACACACCCACACACCTCTTCCTTCGCGCCGACCTTATTTGAAACTTTACGACTACTATAGTTAAACAAACTATGCGAATATTTTTTGGAGAAGCACAAGTAATAGTAAACTGCGATTTTTTTAATCGTCGTCAGAAACACATGTTTTTAGTAAACTTTGGATTTCAATTTTTTTTATATATCAATTTTTAATATAAAGACATGAATGCTTTTAACTCAACATTTGTGTTTTTTGTTACAATGTAAATATAACTCAGCACGATTTATTTTTAAAGGTTTGCGAACCATTAAAAATAGATCGTGCTGAGTTATATTTACATTGAATCAAAAAATTGAACCAATATATTTTGCCAAATGATAATTTTTTAATATGGTTAACTTATTAAAAAATAATAATAATAAATAAACGATTTTATCCTACGAAGTTAAATTATTTTTGTATTGGGCATCTTGTTTCTGGAATAAAATTGTTTTGAATAACTTTGATCTGTCAATTTCATTTAACCTTTTTAAAAATAAACTAAAAAAACTTATTCATTCTAAAGATGATATAATAAATTATTTCTAAAATGTAAAATGTAGTGTGTGCAATTATATACTGTATAATGTTATATTTAGTAGCTTATTTTATAAAATGTTGGCAACCTAATGTAGTAAAATTTAATATACATGTATATGTATATACACTATATGTAATACGTATAAAGGTTTATAAGTATATAAAGGTTTTGACGTTGAGATCTTTTATAAGAAACCTTGTTTAAACTTGTAAAGCTTTTGTTATAGTTATTTATATCATTATATCGCGAAACAAAACAAATGTAAACAAACAATTTATTTATGTATATAGTTTACCTAAAGAGAAATAGAAACTTTCAAAAAATAAAAATAAAATATGTCAGAGATGATACCTCTTAAAACCCTTTTGCCCATTCAAATATATAGTAACGAATTAAATAGTTTTGAGATTGAGGTTGATTGGGTATGCCTTAACGAGACATCCAGAGAAAAAAAAAAAGATTTGTTAATTCGGCCAAAAACAAGGTCTAAGTTTTTCTTTGTTATGGCGTTACTATGGTCAACAAACAAACTAACTAGTAAATTATGTAATTTTAAACACTTTTAGTTTGATCAAAACTAAACGAGTCATATATTAGGATATAGACGTTTTTTTAAATAAACTATATAAACATACTTTCTTGGTATACTAGCCATTTCACGATATCAATTATAGTTTTTATAATTCAATATCTCCGACTCATAAGTACTCAGATATTATTTGATATTTTAAATATCTGACATAAAGTAAAATCAACGAAACATAAAATAAAAAAGCGTCAAAAAAAAAAGAAGTAAATGAAACAAATTTTTAAAAAACTTTTAAAATCGTATTATTTATTTTAAATACCAAATAAAATATTAATTTATAAAAAGCATTAATTTCATGACAATATTACAATTTATAACTTGCTTTATAATATATACAACGGTAGTACGTCTACCGCATGCAAAATTGTTAAGCTATGAAACAACATTTTACAGTGTAAAATTTACTAAAATATATAATTATTTACAAACTATGTCTGTTTTAAACAAATAAAGTAATCAAGTAACAATGTTCGCTTTTTTTCTATGCATAATTTAAACGGCGTAGTCTGTAAATTGCTTATTAAATAAGGATTTCCTCCATGCATAGTAATACAATGGACAATTTTCAAATTGTTTAGCATAACTGCAAGATGCAATGCAGTCCAACCATCGTTTGAGGTCTCATTAACATGTGGACTATGTTCTAATAAAAATGTTACGGCGGGGATATTTTCTCCCATTACTGCAGCGTGTAATGGTATAAACCCAGAATCGTCCTTTTGGGAAATAGAGCAACCATTTTTTATTAACGATTTCAAACACTTTTCACAGCACTTGAATGCAGCGTCGTGCATTAAAGAATTTGGATAACTACCAAAGTTAAATTTTTTTTTTAACACGCTTCTTATCTTTTTGCAATTGTGCACCTGAATATTTTTTTGTAGATAGTCGAGAATTTCTTGCTGATTGCTATACGGAGGTAAACTAACAGACAGTTGCAGTATCGAAGGTGAACTGAAAAACCGTGTTCTGTTCTTTTCGCTGCTATCTTCTTTTAAATTGGTATTTGAACCTCTGCGTCGCAAAATATTGGAAACAGTGCTAAATCTTCTGTTGTTAATTTTATTTTCTTCTTGATTTTCGTAATACGTTGAAGGAACAAAAGAGATTTTTCTACGTACATTTTGTTTGCTGTTACTGAGTATAGGCTTTAAAACTTCGACTTGTGAAATGTTTGCTAAATTTGTTTCATTTAAAACTCTGCCTGGTGAATTGAATGAGTCGCTATTGATTTTTATTGGTGTACTACTTTTTGTTTCAAGGTTACTTTTTATTGTTGCTGAGCAAACTAGTAAACTAGGGTGAATGGCGCATAATGGCAGAACAGAGTGTTTAGTACATATTTGATCAGTTGTTTCTCGAAAAATGTTTTGATTACTTTTTTGATGAAACTGGTCTCTACCAAGAATATTAAACATTTTTTTCTTGGTCTTGTCATACACACAATTTGCATCATAAGGTCTATTCATCATGATATCATAAGGTCCTTTTGTGTAATAATCCATAACTAATCGTGTCGATTAATCGATTAATCGTGTATCAGATGTTTTTTGCTTGTTTGTTTGACAAATCAATTTAAAATATTTATGTTTAAAAAAATTGTATTTAGGTATAAAAATTTACTTAATATCAAAGCTTTCTTAAGCAATTCTAACCATGAACAAGACTCAAAAAAAAATGTTTTAATGTTATTGCGATGTAAAAAAATGTGCAAGGTGAACCTAAAATGTGCAAGGTGAACCTTAACAATAAATACTTTTTTAAAAATCTTTTTCTATATTCTTAAGTTTGTTCTTTTTCTTTGTCTGTATTATTTAATCTTGATATAAGTAAATTAAATAGATCACCAATTATTTTCGGTCAAGCTTTACGTCAACAGGAACCATCATTTTGTTTATAAACTCGTGTTTTTTTCAAAATCAGTTGAAATAATCCATCCCCTAACTATTTAATATTCTAAAAGAAAATGAATGAATAAAATAATGAATAAAAAAAATGAAATACTTATTGAATTTTTTAGATTGCATTATTAAGAGCCACATAAAAATAATCTTCTTAGATGTGAATTACGCATACACCTTTCTTAATGACGTCAAATAAATTGTTAAAAATCCACTTTTGGAATTTACAACAACAATAACAAGTTATTTGTTTTCCATTAATAATCATTTTTACAAAAAAATAATATTAACAATAATAAATAGTTATAATAATATTAAATTATAGTTATAAAAAATACAATAAGGTAACAAATTAATAAAAATGACAATGATAACAAGAAACTAAAAAAAAAATTAAACAATAATAATAAATATTGTAACAACATTTATTGTATAATATTATTTTATAATAAAAATTTAACAATTTATAAGATTGGTGTTACTCAAACAGAAGTTTTATCAAAGGAGTAACCTAATTGAAGGAGTGATCTGATTTGAAGGAGTGACCAAAGGGGTGATCTGATTTGAAGGAGTGATCAAAGGGGTGATCTGATTTGAAGGAGTAATCAAAGGGGTGATCTGATTGAAGGAGTGATCTGATTAAAGTAACACCAATTTTTAAATGTAATAAGCACATAAGCATAAAATTAAAAAAATAAACATGTATAAATCATAGTTTGCAGGTCGTAATATAAAAAATAGAAATAAAAAAAAAATAGAAAAATACTCCTAATAATTGTAGTTTTGAAAGTAAGAAAATTACATATATTAAAGTACGTATAATGTGAGTATATTTAAAAAGAAGAAACGATAATATCAAGAAGTTAGAAAAAAATATTTTTCAGAATTTTTAAAAACTAATTGTGTTGAAGATGAAAAAAAACGATAAAGGTGTTTGAAGTTAAATTTTTAAACGCATTTACAACGAATACAAGGCTCCTGTTCCATTCGTAGACGCATCGATAGACAGTAAAATGCTTACCATACTTCTGACTTTCATAAGATGGTATATTTAGTTTTAATGTATTTTTAGTAGAGTATGAATGTACCAGTTTACTTTCTGTAAGTAATGTACCAATGTACCAGTGTACTTTCTTTACTGAAGTGAAAAAGTTTGTAATGGAAGAAGATAAACTTTTACTTAGAAAGTTAAAAACTTAAAGAAGATTAGCAAACTTTAATGGCACCGGAATGTTTGGAATGTTAAGTTTAATAATATAACAAAACATTTCAAATCTAATTAATAACATTAATAACATAAATGGTAATTATACAGTATATATTAAAACGACATAACAAAGTATAATAAAATAAAACATATCTCGACAAAATAAAGACGAAAAAAAAACGAAAAGCCTAAACATTTCTTTAGAAGGAAGCAGAAGGTTTTTTCGTTTCTATCCTGTATTTGCCAAAACAAATATGTGGACCCACATAAATAACATAAATTAAGAAACAAAAGCAAAAAATTATAACTATAAGATAGGCATGCTCAGCATCAATGGTTTATATGACGTAATCAATAATTAACAAAAGATCAAATCAAAAACAAGTTTTTAAACAAGTTTGAAAAATTTCTAAATGTAATTTATCACACAAAAGAGAACTTGAATACAGCAGCGCTTATATAAAAAAGTAAATAAAAAACAATTTTTATAAAACCTTGCAAAAGCAATCGAATATAAAGACTCATAAACTTAAATATATAAAATCACAAAGAAATACATATAAATATATTGACGACATATGACATCAAAAAAAGCTTTTAAAAAATATAGCAAAAACCATGTCTGGTCCAGCTTTAGCACCAAACCAATCATTTTACAATACTACACTCCACAATAAATACATTATGCCATACGCATTAATTAAGAACGCATATACATATAGCATAAATAATGTAATCGTTAAAAATTTATACAGTATTTATTATACATATGCGTATATTGAGAAATTTAAATTTTATGAACTATTTTACAAATATCAATAAATAATACTAATAGAAATTAGATAAAAGATCTTTTTTTTTTTTTTTTTTGATCAATTTTTATTATGTTTAGAGAGATATAATTTTTTTTCCAAGTTGTGACTTACCAATTAATATTTTTTTACTGCTGTAAATTGTTAAATATATTATGCTTATCGAATATCTTTTATTTCAGAATTTTCAACATGTTTTGTACAACACTACAAAATGTCTCAAATATATCAATTTTCTTGCTGTAACTCGTAACTTAAAACTCGTGTACACGTGAAATATTAATTAGTAAAGTAATCTATTATTTATACAAAGTACTAAAAGAAAGTAATGTTCAATACGATTTACTTAGTTGAATTAATCAAGAGACTTGTTTAGCACTCTGTTAAGAATGTTGAAAAATTTTCACAATTCTAAAAGTGTTCATCAATCTATTTTAAATTAAAATGAAATACAAAATGCTCCATTTGATATTCAGACGGAAAAACTTCAAACACGTGCTCCGTGATATCAATAAAAACGTTTCATATATAATTGGAAGCATTTTTTATTACATTAAAAATGTTTATTATTGTCGAATTGCGTAGTAACTGATTATGCATTATCAATCGGATTTCGGTGTGCTCTAGAACAATATTCTATTGTGTCTCGTTTAGCTTCCATATTTATACTAAATTAATTGAATATAATCCGTTAATAGAGCTATTTTTATCTTAAAAATATAAGTCAGTAATCGTTTTTTGTATTATATTATATAATATATATATATATATATATATATATATATATATATATATATATATATATATATATATATATATATATATATATATATATATGTATATATATATATATATATATATATATATATATATACAATATTATATACACATACAACTACTTATATATAATAATACTTATATACGTAAATAATATTTAAATTGTAAATAGATAATCACCAATAAAAATGTCGCTTAATTTTTTCATACAAAAATAAAATAAAAAAAGATTACTACATAATAGGTAGATCAAAAGGAAAAAAAAAAGAAGAAAAAAGCTGTTTAGATTAGTTTAAAAAAATATATTTGCGATTTTTTTTAACAAAAATATATTCGTGTTTTTTTTTTGAAAAAAAAGTATAATGGAAAGCTTAAAAGAAATTTTTAAAACAAGATCGTTAAAAAAAAAGTAATTTTTAAAAGGGACTGTCCATGACTTTAGTCAACAATTTTTTGGCGATTTTGACCTTCCGCCTCCCCTATGTCAACAACTTGCCAAACATTTAGAGATCCCCTTCTCTCCTCCCTAAACAAAACTAGATTCGTATGTGTGTGTGTGTGTGTGTGTGTGTGTGTGTGTGTGTGTGTGTGTATATGAGTATATATTTCAAATAGAAATTTACACCAGTAATCGTTCTAAGGAATGCATCTAAGTACGTTATACATTTACAACGTACAAATTATACATTAATTAGAATAAATATAAGTAATATAAAATAAGGTGCATGTTGTAGATGTATAACGCACTTAAATGTATTCAAGTTTTAAAAAATTCTAACGGTTTTAATTGGAATAAGTTAATTAAATTATGATAAATTAAAACTTCTTTTCATAGATTAAAAACTATTTATTTGTATAAATATTAAACAATATTTCAATGAATTATAGGAATGTTTATGTTTTTATAACGGTTTTAAATACAATAACATAACAACAAGGGTATTTATTATCCCTTGAAATATAGTTAAATATTTGACAAATAGTTTTTTTCAAACGTTACTTCTTTTAAATTAATTCAAAAATTATATATATATATATATATATATATATATATATATATATATATATATATATATATATATATATATATTTATATATATTTATATATATTTATATATATAAATATATATATATATGAAATTTAAAAATCTCATGCAAAAAAAAAAAAAATAAAATTCAGAGAATTAAAACTTTTAAAAAACAAGTTTAAAGAGTATATATGAATATATTAAAGTTTTGTTCACATATATGGCTATATTCAAGTTTTGTTATTTTTCTTTATAATTTTTGTTTCCAAAAATTGAATACAAAAATGTTAGGAAAATAATTAGATTTAAGAAATGAGTGAGTTAGGAATTTGAAGTAAGAAATGAGCGAATAAATTTAAAACGCAGCGTGCGTGTTGTAAAAGCTCAGCATGCAAGTCTCTATTCTCCATATGGAATTTTATAATTTTTATTTTTATTGTTGTTTTTAATATTGGTCTTTTAGTTGAGCCAATGCCATGGGTCAGTTTAAATTGTATCTGAGAAACTATTGAAGTTCATATATCTTCAGTTCAACTCGATTATGGGGTATTAACAATTATCGTTATTAATGCCACAAACTATTTTTTTAGGCTTAAAAAAGCAAAAATTTCTCATAATCTTTTAAGATATGGAATCTTTTGTTAGGAATTAAAGACGTTTTTAAAAACATTCATTGAATGTCTTAACACAAAATTACTTAGTTAAAATCAGTTAGTTCAGATAAAAAATTAAGAAGTTTCTAGAAGTACTTGATGCGGTATAACTTGAAATATATATATA